TGTCCCTCTGGGGCAGCTGCGGAGGGGGCCTGTGCTGCGGTGGGTGCGGAGGGGCCACGACGCAGCAGGGCCTGACTCACAGGGTCGTTGTGGTCACAAAGCACCTGCTCCTCGCAGTCGCACTGGCCCAGGCCCCGCGGAGTGTTGGCCCCAGGGGCGGGGGCAGGGTGAGTCTAGGCTGCAGGGAGGACTCCGTTACCTGACACACGGGGGCCTGACTGGTGGGACTGTCCCCTGAGGACACGGCCGCGTCTGAGACAGTGGTGATCACAGTGGCAAGGGGCTGCTGCAGCCAGTGGCACAGGCCGGTGCTGCTCACCACTTGGGACACAGGTGGCGGCCCAGTGTCCGCAGTGCCCAGGGCAGGTAATGGAGGCGGCCACAGGCCCGCAGGCCTGGTCTGCAGGAGCCAGGCCCGGGCACACGGAAGGCTGGGGTACCCCCGCGCCCCCCGGCCCAGGCGAAGACAGCTGCCGCCTGCTGTGGAGAGGAGCTTATGGGGGCGTGGCTGCAGGGGCAGGGATGCCCAAGTGTCGGTCAGCGGCATCCGGGTCCCCGGCATCCGAGGCCGACCCTGGAGCCACTGGAGCAGGGCAGGCCACCTGGCTCCTTCCCCTCGGGCCTGCTGCTCGCCTCTAAGGAGCACGTCATGGCCGGGGTGCTCCGGGACGGGGTTCGGGGCCTGGTGCTGGGTGCTCCGCGCACCTGTCGTGGGCTCGGCTCGGACGCCCTGCTCCTCGAGAAGGCGGCGGGTGTGAGCCGGCCGGGGACCTGGCCGGGTGCTGCCCTGGGCGGGTGCAGGTCTGTGGTCTGTCGGATGTGGCCCCTGCCCACAGCACCCAGAGCGGAGGAGCCCGTGTGCCTGGAGAAGCAGGTGGTGTTTGTCCGGTGCTTCTTGCCTCCAGGGGGAGGGGACGGGGCACAGGAGTAGGCGGACCGTGGACCCTCCCAGGAGGCAAGGGCGGGTTAATCCCACAGCCTGAGCTTCTGGCCACAAATCAGCCCCGAAGAGCTGGGCTGGGGGTGGGCACAAGGGGCGGTACAGGGGGCGCTGAGCCACAGCCCTGCGGCTGCTCCAGGCACTGTCAGGACGCCAGGCTGCAGGGCCCGGGCTCTGAGGGGAAGGCGGCTGCCAAGGAAAGAAGGCTGAGGGGTCGGGATCGGGGGTGCCTTGTGTCCATCGGGGCCGTGGTGTGATGTGTGGGGACGGAGTTCCTTTCCTGACCTGGAGCCACCAGACACCTTGCTGAATGTCTTCCTGGCCATCGCCGTGGACAACCTCGCCAACGCCCAGGAGCTGACCAAGGTACAGGGGGGGGGGGGGGGGG